TACACTTACATTCTCTCTGCCTTAAATGTTATCTAATTTAAGTAAAGTTTAACATTTTATTCTACAATTATTTGTAAGATATCAATTTTCTTAAATAGGTGGATATAAATGAATAAATGCACATTATGATTGACATTTACATTCTGCCTTTAACCACATCTAAATATTCCTAGAAATGTTTGCATATTTAGTTGAAAATCTTAATATGGTCAGATCCTAGTATTATTACACTTGGAAAGTGAGCGACAGGAGAACCCATGGATTTGGTAATCAACATAAAACAATACACTCGTGGCTCTACCATCAGCTCTCTGTCTCTTCCATAACATACTGGATCATATTTCAGTTAAATCAATGGAACAGGTTAATCTCCAAAAATGTGAACCAAAGAAGCTTCTACAACATGAGACTAACAAAGAAAAGGCAGAAGATTATGGCTGATCCCTCTTGATTTATTTGCCCAATGTGCCAACAGTGTATCCTAATTTTATTTCCACTTGTAGGCTTTTTGTTTGTATGACTCAATTCTCATGTGAGAATTAATGTAACAGCAATCCATTAGGGATGGCTGACCTTAAACTTATCAAGATTAAGATTTGTGGTACAAAGATCTAGCCTCTAGGCACTTAAAAATACAGATTTGTTTTCACTTTGTTGCAAAAATGCCTTTTTTATAAACAGCATTACAGTAGTCCTTCCTTGTCTGCAGGGGATATGTTCAAAGAATCCCCAGTGGGTCTGAAGCCAAAGACAGTATTCATTCCTCTGTATAATATGTTTTTCTGCATATACATATCTATATGATAAGGTTTAATTTATAAATTGGGCATAGTAAGAGAATAATAGTAACTAATAATAAAAGAGAATGATTATAACAATACTCAGAACAATGTGCAATTTAAAGCTTAAACATAGTTTATTTCAAGAATTCTTCATTTAATATACTTGAAGCATGGTTGACTGCGGGTAACTGAAACCTTGGAAAGCAAAACAGCAAATAGAAAGTGGACTACTGTGTAAGGCAATTAGAAATAACAGACATCTTGGGAGATAGTGTCACAGCCCCTAAAACCTCTCTGAGAAACGCTTTCACTGTTCACCCTACTCACCCCGACTGCCCTCCCAGTGTCCTTGGTGACACAGTACTCTCCTTGCTTCTCTGGCTGGAGTTTATTGAACCAAGGATTAATGCCTGGTCTAAGTGAGCTGATTACATTCTTTCATAAGAAATTGGATTCAGAATTGTCATCGATTTTTAGTAATTGCTTCAACTGAGGGCCTACAAGATCTGTGTTAGAGGCACAGAGAAACAGAGAAAACCAGTCTACAGAATGCACAATGAACGAACAAGCAGAGAGAATAGGCCAGGCCCTGAAGGGGTAGTGGAGGAGAGGAGAGAGATGAAGAAGGAGAGGAGAGAGATAGGAAAAGGGAGAAGAGGGAAAAAATAAGGCAGTACTAGAAAGAGAAGAAGGGAGGAAGGAGGAGGGACAAAGAGAAGGGGAAGAGAGAGGGGTGAAGAGAGAGGAAGGGAGGAAGGGAAGGAGGGAGGAGAGAGGGAGAAGGAGAGGAGAGAGAAGAGAGGAGAGGAGAGGAGAGGAGAGGGGAGGGGAGAGGAGAGTTGGGGAAGGGAACGTGGTAAGAGAAGCTGATATTCTTCCCTGACTGCTCTTTTATTTCCTAGTTCCAATCCTACCAGTGGCCTACACGTATTCCTGCAATTGAATGTCCTAAGGAAAGCCTGTATTCTAATAACAAATGGCCTGATACATGTTTACAAACACAATAAAATTAAACCAATTTTTCAAATAAAGAATTTGACAATTTCAATTTCAATGTATCATGCTTTCTTTTTATAAGTAAGCCGCTAGTCATAAACTGGCTATCATTTCAGAGTGAGATTACTATCATCTCAAGTAACATTAGTATTGTAAGATTGCATGGATCCTGAGAAGCCTGAGTCAAAAAATATTAAGAGAAAAATGTAGCAGAGAAAAAGGTGCCAGAGGGCCAAAAATTTAGCTCTTTGACAAATAAACATGTGAATCTAAAACTAAACAATCAAACTTTAATAACAGAAAAATACAAGCAAAATATTAAATTATAAGGTATATCAGGTCACAAATGATTGAACATATGAACTAAAAAAATTTAGTTGTTAAAATACATATAACATGCAAATATATATGTGTATGTATATATATATGAAAAGAAACATATATACAAGGTATACACGTTTCCTGAAACTCCATATTTATCACTTGAAAAATATTGTTATTCAGATACTATAGACATTTGCTCATAATTCTGAATATTTTGGTTTAACACATACCTACATGCCAGGTAAGAAAATCATGTTAGAATTCTTAACAGGAATAAGCCCTACTGCTCTTAATTCTTTCAGAGTAATAATTTCTGCCATGTCCACTTGTAAACCATAAAATGCTAACTAATGAATGCAGAAACCTGAATTCATGATATTATAATACATAATAGCCCTGAGAATTCAGTATATGCATGCATATAATAAATGCTAAATTCTAAATAAATCTTTCTATAAGGTTTTCTGTAACCTAATACAATCTTCTCTGTAAGAATGTACAGTATGAGGACTATAGTTAATATTTTACTGTATTCTAGAAATTTTCTAAGACATTTTAGTTATCAGGTGCTCTTACCATATGCACACACATAAAAAGATAACTGTGAAACGATGGATATGTTAATTTGCTTGAGTGCAGTAATCATTTCACGACATGTATTTGTATATGTATATATAGACAGACGTCTCAAAATTTCATGCTATGCATCTTAAAAATGTGCAATAAAAAAGAAATTATGCTTCTAAGAATTAACAGAAAACAAAAACAGCAATATATTTTATAATTACATTTTCATAAAAATGCTATGCCATGTTAAAATAATCATTCTATAAAAACAATACTGCGTATGCATGTTTATAGAGCATTGTTCACAATAGCAAAAACGGGGAACCAACTGTGCTGCCCATCGAAAATGCACTGGATTAAAAAAAATGTGGTACATAGAATATTACGTAGTCATAAAGAAGGATAAAATTATGGACGTCTCAGCGACTTGGATGGATTTAGAATCTATCATACTTGGTGATCTACTACAGAAACAAAGAACTGAGTGCCAAAAGATGTTCTTATTGATAAATGGACCCTCAACATTTATCACAACACTATAAGAAAGGGATTGGCAATAGAGGGACACTGCCGTTGCAGGGGGGCACACAACACCAATAAGCATACCTGATCTCAAACCAGGCAAGGGGAGGATGAAAGGGAGGCCCAAATTTTACCTGTATGATAAGCACTTATCCACCTAATCCTGAATTGTACCCCACATCTTTAAAATTTAAAAAAAAGATTTTAAAATTAAAAGTTTTTAGCTCTATCGCACAGCATAGAGAATACAGTTCATAGAGTATTATACATTTCAAGATTGCTGAGAGTAAATTTCATATGTTCTCACTACAAAAAATGTGTTTGAGGTGATGGATATATTAATCATCTTGATTTAATTATTCCACACTATATTAATAAATCATAATATTGTTTTATACCATACATTTATACAATTATAACTTGTAAATTTATAATTAAAAACAAAATTAAGATATGAGGAGCTAGTAATAGTTCTCTTGACTTAAAACTGACATTTGGGAAAGGTGTTTAGTTTTATTTTTTCATCTTAAAGATCTCATATTTCTCTCACAGAAAACCTATTCATCATGGTAAATATAACCTCAATGCCAGTAAACATTTTACAACAGTTTTAAGATAGTAAGGCTTGAAAACAGACAAGAATTGAACATATTAGTGATGGGAGAAAAACCAGAAAAGTCAGTAGCATGTCCATCATTAGTTTACAAGTTAATAAATGTTCTCTAGTTAATGGCAGTAGCCAGAAAAAGGTTCCCATACTCATGAAATTAATATTTTATTAAAGGATTTAGCTTAGGTCAAACGAGCAGCATTCACCAACAGTATGTTACAAGTAGGCAATTATATCATGAAAATATCAGCTCAATAAATGGATACTTCAGGGGGAAGGTACTTAGTATGTTACAAAAACAGTCCCATGAAGACAGAGATTTTTATTTTTCTTTCTATATATACCTAGTGTCCAGAAAAGTTCTTGGCACTCAAGTATTCTGTTATAGCAGCACATCATGAACTAAGACAAAGATACATGGAAACACTTCATGGCCATTTATAATCCTGCAGAGCCTGGTCACCCAGGAAAGTCACCCAGGTGATGTGACCATTCTAGCTATCAACTCTCTCTCATCTGTAAACTCTGACAACCATAATAAGTGAAGCTTTGCAGCCACTTCCAATTCTATAATATTATAACTATAATGTGTTCAAGGATTCCTTTTTAAAGCTAATTTTCTCAGGTTGGTGTATACAAATTTTGCTTGGTTAAAATCTTCATAAACACTTGTGATATAAAATTGGCAATACATATAGCTATGAATCTGAACACTTTGGGACAATATCTTAACTAGTATCAGCATATAAGCAGAAAATTTAAATATTTATAGCAAATAAAATACCTAACATTTGAAAAAGGCAACAGTAGTTTACATTTTAATTTCTGTATGTTATTTTAATAATCAAATACTTGTGTATGAGTTTCATTTTTCTATTTCAGTAAAGGAAATCTATGATGTCCAGTTTATCATCAAGCTATTCACACCCTATGACAATCACACATTTAATTATCAGCTTCCTTTACTGGAATATGAGCTCTATGAGTTAATAAAGTATATAGAGCCTGATATGTCTGGAACACTTGATTCTCAGTCCCCTTGTAACCAGATTAGATTCCACCTACTCCTCTACTTGACCAATGCTGTAGGTTTTCTTATCATCAGACAAAAAAAATTAATGACCCCAAATTGTTCCTAAAGAATCCACAGGAAGTATATAATTTTAGAATGTGGAGGCATGAGGAATAAACAACATTACCTGAGCAAGCTTACGCTTTTCTAGATTTCCTCCCTTTTCGTTGTGTAATGTGTAAACTGGAGTATACTGTACAGAACCAGAACAAGTCCCATAATTTTCATTTTCCTACACATTAAAAAAAACAAGTAATTATTTTAAAATATTCCTTATTTTACTAAAGTTATTAGATTAATGATGTATCTGATACACATGAAAACAGCAAAATAACACTTCAGTTATATGTTTAGAGAATCTACTAAGGAAGAAAATGTACTTTTCTATAATATAAATTAATAACTTGTAAAATAATCTCTATTTTAAATAATTTGAATAAAATTAATATAAATATAATTTTCTCATCACTTCACTGAAAGTTTTAAGTAATATGCTTTCTCCAAAGGTGAAAATTCAAATTATGACAACTGATAACAAAATCTGCAATGATGTAATGTGTAATTAAATCAATACACACACATATACATATAAATATTCATATACCTGCAACAATAATAGCTGCAAATACAAATCCTCATCACAATCTTTTGTAAATGAAGAACATTCTTCAATTTAAAGTAACTATTATTGGAAAGAGAATAAAAAAACAATTATGGCATTCCTGGATTAATTATATACCAAAGATATCTTTTAAAAAAAACTCTCAGTGTGAAGCAAGAACTTCAAATGTGATATCAAGGCAATCAACTTTATGAAAACATACATCCTGTTAAAGTGTCTTTGAAGATTTCCATAGTTCTGTGATAAAATATACAAACAATAAAGAGATTATTCAGTGGATGCATATAGAATGGCAGATAGTTGCCAGAAGGCTTGTTATAAAAAAATACATCCTTGAACAAAGGGAGAAGCATATTTCAAAAGTCATTAAAAAATAAATCTCATGTGATTTGTAAAGTACAAACTTCAAACTAATACAAGAATCAAGGTAGAATGGAAACCATGAACATAACGCACCTTGTGTTTTAGCTTACTCTTTACTTCCTTTAGTCCCAGCTTGGCATGATTTTTTGCCTAGAAAATGATAATAAACGTGCCTGGCTCAGCATGATTCTATTACCATTTAATGAATATGTATACAAGGTCACATTTAATGACAATTGCCAACTATATTATTTAGAAAAAAATTATAATCTAAAACTCTATTTTCAGGGATACCATACCAATTACTATTTTATTATATCTGCATCTGTTGGTAAAACATGATTAGTCTCTTACTTGCATACAAATTATCATACATTTGGCCTATATTGCCTCTGAAACTATAAAGAACACAAAGGGAATCAACCAGATTACTAATGCCCAGTCTCAATTTAAAATTGTGACAAACTGGAGGAGAAGATCTAAGCAGTAAGTTATTTGGGCAAATGTTTAAACTTTAATTTGAAAGTAAGGAAACTTTACAAAGTTTTATTAAAATATTTTACAGGATTTGTAATAGCAGAGTTATCTTAATGGAGTGGCTATTTCATATACGGTTTTTCTAGCTAAAAAAATTAAATTCATTTAACAACTTAAAGGCTATTTTCATGTTTCACTGTAAACCTGACTCCAGCACTTGACTTTCATATGTTCTGCTGTGATTCCTGTGGGGTATAACTTATAAAGACAACTGATGAGGCCTTTCATATAAGCCTTAGCCTTTGTTCCTCCGGAAATTCCCATGTAACAGTGGCCAGAGGAAAAATGAAAAGAAAAGGAATTCACATTTATTTTGTTTCCTAAATATGTGACTGTGTGGTGGGTGCTTAGCACACATTATCTCATACAGTTATCACAACTCTATGAGATTAGTGCTATTATTATCATATTTTATAAATAAGGAAACTGACTTGGGGACTACATTTCAATTTACCTATCCTCTAATCTACCTGATCATACTAATCTTTTCAGTGTATAGAGTTGAAGCTATTAGTGTCAGTCTGTCTCATGGGTCTACAGTCCATGCACCAATTCATTTAAATGTTCATTGCCCTAACTTCTCCTTGGACCTCTTCCAGATTACCTGGAAGATGGGGTACAAGTTGTCTCTCTCCTTTTCAATGTACCAGTTTGAAACATAATGATACAAGGTGTTCTCTAAAGAAATGCATCAAGCAAATGGCTTTGGCTAATAATTTAAAATGCAAAAACTTAACAAGAAAAATGACTCAGAAAGCATTTTAGCCAAATAAAATATACATTTCACTTTGCTGTTATTCTTAGATTTATAAGAGACTACGTGTGTCAACTCAAGATTTTTTTTATGGCCCCTATAAACATTGAAAAGTATAATCATGGAAAGCATAGAAAATAATTAAGTATAGAAATATGTACTGGAAAATGTTATAAGAAGAGAACAAAATCATTATTTCCTTTAACAAATATATATTCGGCACATCTATAGTATGTTCAAAATACAGAGCAGAGTCAGAGGGTTGCAAATATAAAAGAGGGACAGTATCTCTTTTACAGTACCTATCATATTCTATGCTCTAATGCAAATGACCAAAACAGGGCCTAGTTTATAATAGGCACTCAAATTATTTGTGGAATAAGTGAAATAGAGGTAAAAATATGGTTTCTACTTTTGAAAAATTTACCATCTATAGAAAACCAAAGTAACTAAATTCTGCTATACTCACACAATAGAATTTGGGGGTTTTATTTATAGCAATTTCTGGTCAAAGAAGGAATTTCAGTGTATACATTACAGAATATGAGCAGTCTGGAAATATCAGTTTTAGATACAGCTAAAAAGGGCACAAAATGACTTACTTATCCGTACCTCTTGATTCATGCATGATATGATCACAAGATATATGATAAAAGTAATTAATTATATTGTAAATTCCTTAATTTGCCTGAAATTAATTTAGGGAATAATCCTCCAAAGATAAAAATTTTTAACTTGGAAAGATTTTACTGCCTTCCAAAGAAGGGTGCAAAATAAAATATTCCACTGATTAGAAGGATTAATTTTAAAATAATGAATATGGTTTTGAAACATGTTTGCCTCATTGTTGTGCTTTTATGAAAGATATATAAAGAAGAAAGATATATATAAGAAGGAAAACACATATTTGGGCAAATAATACAACTTCTTTCAGCCTGAAGAAAAACTTCAAATGCCTGGTCAAGGAAAAAAAAAATGTGGGGCTACTAACTGCAAAACCCTTTTTAGACTCTTAAATGAATGCAAGAAAAAAGGTTCAACATTAGTTTGGTTTTTCACATGGCAGCTGTGTGCTATTTCACTGTGAAAATAAATTCTGCAAAAATTGTACTTAAATCAAGCAACCAGAGAGGTTTCCTAACAAAGCCATAGAATAACCAAACAAAAGGCAGAGGCTGGTGTTTCTAAGGCAAAATGATTACCTCTTCTTAATTTTGCTTTATGAATAGGCTTCAAATAATTCAGATTTTGGTACTATAATTTTAAATCACCTCTGTAGACTAGCTTCCCTACTATAAAATGTAATCTTTGAAACATTACTTAAACAGAAAGGGTGACTTCATTTATATAGCAATTATAAATCAAGGAAATAATATAGTTCTAAACTTGTATTCAAATATATTATTTTATTATTAATTTAATCACATCAATTCACTTACTGAGAAAGCTTTTGAGGATAAAGTCTTTAAAAATAAAACTACTGTACTAAATATTTTTAAACATATAAAATATATAGTTAATTGAATAAACAATCACTGAAGAGCAACCCACTAGCTCCTCTCTCAAGTTAGTAGTCTAGTATTACAGATAAACATGTAAATAGATTAAATAAGTGCAGAAAGAGAGGGCCCTACAGATCCTATGGGAAGACAGAAAGTATATACATTCTTTTGCTGAGGACTTGAGAAGAAAAATTTCAGGACACATAATGCCTGAAATAAGTTCTATAAAAATGAACTGGTATTTACTAGGTGGATAGAGGCTAGGAAATGAAAATTCCAATAAATAGAAATGACTTGAGCAAGAATAAAAGGACAAGCCAGGCTCGGTGGCTCAGCCTGCAATCCCGCGCCTTGGGAGGCTGAGGTGAGCGGATGGCCTGAGCCCGCGGCTTCGAGACCCGCCTGGGCAGCGAGCCCTCATCTCGACAATAAATCAAAAATCAGCCGGGCGTGGTAGCGCGGCATGTAATTCCGGCTACTCGGAAGGCGGAGGCGGAAGGATCCCCGGAGCCCGGTCGAGGCTGCGGTGGCCGGGAGCGGCCGCTGAACTCCGGTCTGGGCGCCAGAGTGAGACTCCAACTCAAAAAAAAAAAAAGAATAAAAGGACAGAAGAGGACATCTTACAATTATGAAATGGGAAAGTATCTTTAGAGACATGGAAGGTTCAGGGGAATGTGGGGGGCGGGGACTAGACACAAGAAGGTCCAGGTTTTGAAGGATCTTAGTTCATATTAAATAAATTTTTATTTTATTATTTGCTTGTTGTTGCTATTGTTCTTACTATTATTTTACTATAAGCCATGGAGAATCACTGAAGCCATCTTTGGGGGAAAAGATCTTGCTGTATTTTTCTATTTTTTTCTACTTGAGCCTCAGTACATAATGAGAATTCAAAATATGTTGTTGGATAAAAGAATCAAATTTTGAAAAATGGTAAATCATCAAAATTGGCTTCAACTTGCTGAAAAATTTTGCCGATGGCTTTTAAATAAAATGAAGAATGATTTGCATATTATATAAAAGAAATAACCTACGTAATGTTATAAGTTCAATAACTGAATTAGCTTTGGTTAATATTAACCTTGAACGGTATTTAAAAGTTTATTTAACAAAAATTAGAAAATATTCAGACTTTACATTATATTATCTAGGAATATATTGTTTAATTTTATAAATAGAATTTTTAAACATCAAAATAAAACTTACAAATTTATAAGCTGTCCGTACAGCAGGAGTTGCTTTAGTCATTGCTGTGTTGAAAAGTGCACCTCCTTTCTGCAAAAGAAAAACAGAATAATATTTCCAATAATTTTTGGCCAAAATGTCCTGAAAACAAAGCTTAATCAGTCATATAAAAAAAGCTTTACAGCCTGTCCTGGTGGCTCAAGCCTGTAATCCCAGCACTTTGGGAGGCCAAGGTGAGAGGATTGCCTGAGTCCACGGGTTCGAGAACAGCCTGGGCAACTTGGCGAGACCTCATCTCTACAATAGATCCAAAAAAAAAATTAAACAGGTGTGGTCGCACGTGCCTGTAGTTCTGGCTACTTGGCAGGCTGAGGGGGAAGCCTAAGTAAGCCCAGCGGGTTGACGCTGGGGTGGCCGTGAGCATGCTACTGCACTTTAGCCTAGGTGGAGTGAGACTCCAACTCAAAAAAAAAAAAATCTTTCCTCGCAACTTAAAGATCTATAAAAATTACTTCATGTCAGTGTTTTCAAGTTTTTATATATTATAATAATTTCAAAAAATGTACATATTCTAATCTGTTCTTTTAGTTGCCATAATACATAATTTAAAAATAATTTCTTCTTTGAAATTCAGGCAGACTCGAGCAATATGACCAGTAATATGTATATATTTAAAACTCAATTAAAAGGAAATGTTTATCAAGTGTCATTTGGTTGGTGAACAAAATATCAATCAGTAGAAAAAAGTTTTATATTTTAAAATCATATTAACAAAACCACATTACCAAAAATTACAAAACTTCCATCAAATCCTACCTAATTCCTTGTTCTGAAATATAAGGTGAAAGTGAAATCTTGCTTTTCAAAAATTGTGCTTATTTATTCTAGACTAAAGCTTTCCATTTAAAAATTATCTTTATAAATATCAACAAACTATAAGCATAAAGTAAAAATATTTAAAATATGACAAAATACATAAAAATTTCAAATACTGCAAGTAAACAGCAGACTTATACTGAACATGTCTTCACATGTATTAGAGTGAAAGAAAAGGTTTGAAGGCTTATGATTACCTTGACTGTGTGCACCCATTGTTGATATGACTTTGGGTTCCCTGTAACACACAAAAGTTAGATGCCAGGAATAGTTGATCAAAAGTAAATCCACAAACCAAAATGTATCAAGGACTCATATTTCCAGGATTTTAGTGGGCAGATTTTATCTGCAATGATGTAAAAGAAGCAATGTAAGAAATGCCATCATAAGAACTGATACATTGCCCTAATTTTTAGGAAAAGAGTAATAGCACATTTAAGGGTAGACAATCACTTTTCTTCACTCATGTATGAAGCTAAAAGTCTATCTTCTTTCACATAAATGTTAGCTTCAGAGGGGAAAATACAACCTCTCTTTTGAAATCCTAAATTCTTATGCTATTTATTTATTTATTTATGGTTTGTAACTTTTTTTTAATTTTAAAGATGTGGAGTACAATTCAGGATTAGGTATACAAATGTTCATTATGCAGGTGCCCTTGTTGATGACGTGTGCCCCACCCCCCAGCAGTTTCCTACTAGTGCAATCTTGCACCCCTCTCCCCAGGCAGGTCCCCACTATTGCCAATCCTTTTCTTACAGTATTACGATAACTGTTCAAGTTCTGCTTATGAGTGAGAGAACATGTGACACTCATTCTTTGTTTCTGTGATAGATCTCTCAGTATTATAGACTCTAAGTCCAGCTGCGAAGTTCCTAATTTTGCCCTTCTTTATGGCAGGGTATCATTCTTTGTTTCTGTGATAGATCACTCAGTATTATAGACTCTAAGTCCATCTAAGCTGCTGCAAAGTTTGTAATTTTTGCCCTTCTTTATGGCAGCGTAATATTCCATCATGTATATGTACCACATGCTGTTTAAACTAATTTTTTCAATGTCATTTGTCTCTGTTGTTTTATAAAAGTTTGTCTCTTTTACACAACTGAATTTATTTGAAAACAATATTTCAAATGTATATGAAAAATTGTAAAAACTAGAATGAGATTTAGAAATGTAAAGAATCTTGGGAACAAAAATTATTATTCTATGGTTGCTAAATGTTAACAGAAATTAATAGCTCATTTTATTTTCTTGCAATTAAACTGCAGTCCTGTTCTGAAAATATTCTCCAGTTGTAAATCTCTAAGGTGGAAAAATATTACTCCAGAAAATGTGAAGCAAATGCAGTTTTTAGGCTACACAGTGTAATGGTTAACAGAAAGCTCAAAAGATGACAAAACTAGTTTTAATAAAACCTGGTAATCAATATATTTGGTTCCAAATTAGTAAGCAATTTAGTCTCAATAAGATAATATCATCAGGCAAGAAACACACACACAACAAATCTAATCTTTCCTATCAAGTGATTTGTGAGATTTCAACTACTTTCTTGCTTGTTTGAATACAGAAATACTCCCTAAATGATGAGTGAGAAGTTACATAAAAAAAAAACAAAGTCCCAATAGCTACTCAGACACTACCCAGCACAAAGAACTCATCCAACAAACACAGTGTTCGCCTCTTGACTATGGCTATGACTTTTAAAAAGATGCATGACCTTGCTCTTACAAAATGATCCCAGCCTAAAATTTCTTTCCAGCTGTTATCTTTGTATCCCTAATCAATATCAGACAAAAAATGTCCAGCTCTGGATTTACTGCCAAATCTTTCTCTAATTTTAAAATCTTTCCCTAATTTAAAATAAATGTCAAGAAACATTTCTTATTCTGAAAAATGTCTCTTTCTACTCAACACAGCATTGCACCTTCTCTGGAGGAAGAAATATGGAGAAAAGTATTTTTCATATCTTGTAAAATTACTACAGCAAAGTGCAAATACCTAAACAATCGGTGAAAAAATAAATTGTATCATTTAAAAAGTATGAATTTCAGGTAGTATTGGACTTGATCAAACGTTTAAAAGTATATTTCCCTTGTAAAATAATGAGAAATACCAAGTTATTCTATCGACTTATCTTTTTTTAACGATGAAATAAACCGTAGATCTTTAGTCATCTAGATTGTTCATATATGTTTATTTCTCTATCAAAAGTTCTCACCAATTAAAATAATTTTTACTTCTCTATTAAAAGAGGTTGAGTGAAAAAATCATATATTTAAGACTTGGTTATTATTCAGACTATTCTGAAAAGTGTTTTATTTCAATTATTTTCCGAAAATGAATTTAAGAATGCAGAGAGATGCCAATAATTTAGCATTCTGCTACACTTTACAATCCAAGAAACAACGTTTCTTTTTAAATCTCTGAATTACAAAGAAAATAGCTATCATAAAATTTCAGAACAGTTATAGAAAAGTTAGTGCCTTATTTAGAATTTTGAGGAATTAAAAAAGTTCATATTCAGATCTGTACAGGTCAAAAAATATTATTACCTATATTACATTATTTGAACTGTATTTTTCTACTGCAAAACAGGCAAAGCAGGTAGTGACGTAAGTAGTTAGATCAATGAGAAGGAAATGGGCTTTGGAGTCCAACGACCCTTGGAATTCAGGCTTGCGCTATCCTTGTGAGGGGTGTGACTTGGTACTAGGTCCTTAATTTTGCTGACCCTCAGCTTCTTCATTCAAATTCAATAAACCTAATAGTCCCTGCCTGTCAGGATTATTGTGAGGATGAAAGATAATGAGTAAACAACGCTAAGTGTGGTAGCTTATATGCCACAGAAATACCACAAATGTTAGTTGTTACTATAAATAACTTGCCAAAATAGAAAACTGAGGTTCTGAGATGATACATTATTTACCCAAGTTCTCAAGGCTAGCAACTGAGAAAGAATAAGAATCTAGGTATTTTAATTCATAGCTTATTATTCCTTCAATTCTGAAATACAACTTCTAAGACTGTTAATTAAAATACAATAAAATGTAAGTTATATAGGAGTTTCCTCTGTGTCATTTCCAAAGCAATTACAAAAGAAAGGGGAAAAGGCTACTCAAAGCTAATACCCTGAAAAGAAAGTTAATAGTGAGAATTACCAGTAATAATCTAGAATCATGTAGTATAGGAGCAAACAGAAAATCTCTAAGAATAAACACACTGCTTAAAAGTCAAAGTGAAATGTGGTACAATTTAGGTAGACTCATTCCTTTTAAGAAAATTTTAGGATGAATTGTCTCTTCAAATGTTAGTGCAGTGCCTTTATGAGTCAAGTTTCCTATTTCCATGGAAGTTATGAGACAAGTACATTATTCTTTTGTAATGTTTTTTTAAAAGTTCTTTTTTTTTTTTTTTCTTAAAAAATTAATTTTGTCGAGGCTGTGGTGGCCGGGAGCAGCCACTGCACTCCAGTCTGGGTGACAGAGTGAGACTCCAACTAAAAAAAAAAAAAAAATTAATTTGAATGCTAAAGAAACTCCAAGTCCTTCTTTTAAAATAACTGGATTATGGCAATAATAAGCATTATGAATGAAATTCTTAACACTGCTTTTGTTAGCTAAACAATTGATTTTTCTTACACTCAATGACAAAATGTCTTTACTTCTCACTTATGCCAAGACTTTCTCTTCAAATGTACTTGTTTATATTCCAGTAATTTGTACTTATTTCTTTTAAAAAATGTAAATTGGCCTGAATTGTTCTGAATGTCATTAAAACTGACAATTACCTACCACCTCTCTTCAAATTTCTTTGGTACCTTAATCAGTAAAAAGGAATAGAAACAAATAAATAAAAGAGTGACCTGATTATATCAGTAAACTAATGAAGAAACAAATGCTAGTAACAGAGAGTAACTACACACTCTCACATTAAATCAATCTGAAAATATTTCTCCTTTTTAAAGTTTAGATAATTTGATGTGAATTTAAAAACTAATTTTATTTTAAATGAAAAACAAATACTAAAAAAGAACATATTCTTAGCTACTCAATATTTCTTAGCTGTTCTTCCATAGACCAACATTGTTTTTACCTAATCGCATCCTTTGTTCTCCTCACGTCCTCTTTTGTCACTTTTTAAACTCCACGGATACTTTTTCCTTTACACATTTCCTGATGCTTTTATTATTTCCCTTTTAAGTTAGGGTTGAATATTCTGCAAGGGTCTCATGAAAGAATTAAGGTGCAACATGGATTTCCTTAACAGTCCTAATGACAAGAACTTGCCAGACAGATACAGTTTTGGAAAATCTGCATACGCATTAAGATTCTTTAACCATAATTCTGGATTCAAATATGAATCTAGATGCTGTATATCTGATTGTCCTGCACTGGACATTTAAGTCAGAGCTACAATAATGATAAAGCTCCACCATACTCATTCATTTTAATATAACTATGGGCATTAGCAATAAAAATTGCCCAAACTACCACTGGTATGAGGTACAAAGGGGAGAAATAGATGCACCTCCGAAATTTCCTACTTATTTTTGCTTAAAGAAGAAATTTTTTCCTTCATTTTTAGTGAATGTTGATTTTTACTACAGTGATCTTTCTAGGGGCTTTATGTATTTAAAAATGTTAAGTTCTTCAGAAGAGACAGGCATTTTGCTTAGATTAAATCAGAGTAGGAAAGGCTTAACACTACTCTTGTTTACTGAACGTTTTCTTATTAAGAAAATCTCTTATTATAAAAAGCAATATATTGGCCAGGCTTGGTGGTTCAGCACGTAATCCCAGCACTTTGGGAGGTCAAGGCGAATGGATTGCCTGAGCCCATGGGTTCGAGACAGCTTAGGCAACTTGGTGAGACCACTTCTCTACAATAAATAAAAAATTAGCTGGGCATGGTAGCGCGCGCCTGTAGTTCCTGCTACTCGGAAGGCTGAGGTGGAAGGATCGCCGGAGCCCAGCAGGTCGATGCTGGGGTGTTCATGAGTGTGCCACTGCACTCCAGCCTAGGCAACGGAGTAAGATACCAACTCAAATAAATAAATAGAAATTTAAGAAGATTTCTTTTAAAAGCAATATATTATAGTGATTAATGCAAGAGCTTTGAAACCAAGTAGATTCCTGTTGTGTTGAGACTCTGGTCACTACGGGCTATGTGACCTTGAGCAAATTACTGAGCTGAGTGTCCTCATATAAACAGCCTCATAAAGTGTTGTGAGGATTAAATGAGATAATATCTGTAAGGCTCTTGGGAGAATTTCTGCCATATGTTAGTGTTCAATAAACATAAACAATTATTATATTACTATAAGAGAAATGACAAAGCTAGATAAGTTTGCTTCTTTGAAGAACAAGTCAGTATCATGACACAAATTCTTCTCTCTCAAAAGGGTAGTGTCAGTGACAAATGTTTGGAATTTTCCTCTAGAAACTATTTTTGTAAATATATATACACACATCCTAGATAGATGATAGATAGATAGATAGATAGATAGATAGATACCTCTTAATTAGTAGTTAGAAGAACACTACTAATTTTTATTCTATTAGTCATACTAATAAACTTTGCTTTATTTTCTAAAAATAATCTCTATGTATCTCTAAAATACCCTAAAATAAAAGAATTAAAAAATAACACTTGATAGGTACAATTATTTAAGATACTTTACTGTTGTACTTACTGAAATTAATATTTGTCAAACTAGGCTTTCCTTTTAGATAAGTATTCCTTCTTCAAATTAAAATAAAAGTTCAAAACTTTTCCACTTTAAATAACAACAATGTAGCTGGCATTAAGCTGTACTAAAAATGCAGCAGTCTGTAAGTCAGATGCGAACCGGTAATCATATCTCCCTAACCTTTTTTTTAACAATAAGATCTTCAGTGAAAAATTTTAGTGACCATCCCCCACCCCCAACCAGAAAAGCTACCTACCTCTACTCTATTACAGAGGTACCTGGGCCAATAGTTAAGACTATAGGATTTAACTGTAAAAAAGGATCATAATTCTACCCCTTATTGTCACAAAATGTCATTTTCAATTCTATAAAAGCTACTAGCCCCACGGGTTATAAAGATAATGAGACAGCAGTTATGTAAATACTGAACAGATGCCTCAAGCAATTTGTCCATGAGCTGACAATATTTTCTTGTCTGAGTTGCGAGGTAAAAAAGCATTATTTTAACACAAAAGTTCCATTGAAGGTAAATTTTTATCCATGAACTGTGGAAAGTAAGGAGTTGAATGATTCCATGTTCAGCTTACTTGCTGAGTCAAGTAAACTAACTTTTTCCCCATGCTAAATGCATTCAATGAAATACATGTGGGTAACCCCAAAAATCTGAATTATCTTTTGGAGGGTGGGCTACCTGTACTACAGGGTACCCCTACTAGGTAAGTGCTCTAGGAACCCAGCACCCTCAATGTACCAGCTAATGTTGTTTGTGAGAGCCTACATTTGGCTTCAGTAAATTTTTTGTTGCAAACAGTGACTGGTTCTTCCATCATGATAATGCACCTGCCCGTGCCATGCTGAGTGTTCAGCAGTTTTTTGTTTTTTGTTTTTTTATCAAAAATGGCATTACCCCTGTACCCCACCCTCCTTATTCACTCGATATCGCCTTGAGTGACTTCTTTTTTGTACCCTGATGAAATATCTGTATGATGATCACTTATGTACCTAATCCCGAATTGTACCCCACATCTTTAAAATAAAATAGGATAAAATAAAATAAAATGAAAAAGGTCCTCAAAGGGAAACATTTTGCTGATGTGGAAGACAAAAACAAAAAAATGGCAGGAGGATTACAAAGGCATCAAAATTGACGCGTTCAAAAACTGTTTTGAGTAGTGTAACAAGCCTCTCGATAGGTGTATTGCAGGAGAGTACCTTGAAGGTGATTAAAGTTTAAATATGTAAGAATAAATGCACAATTTTTGGTAAATAAATTTCAGGGTTTTTTGGGTTCCCCCTTGTAGTGGCTTTACATGAGATAAAGACTTACAACTACTAAGGTCATTTTTGTATCACTTTTAATCAACAAATTATCTCAATAGTTTCTACATTTTCATGATGTGAAAAAATTTTGAGTAAAATTAAATTTTGTGAAATCTGTAGATGAGAGCTTATTAATTTTTCTTTTCATGTTTTAGTTCTCAATTCCAGCAACTATTTATTCACACATAAACTGAAAACGTTTTTTTCCAAACAAACCTACAGAGAAGTTAAAAAAAATTACTATTATACCAGGTGAAAAATGAATACATCACGATATAGAGGAGGAATTTTTGTTTATTTGGTTCACCATATCTAGAACAGTGTTAAGTACTTAATAAGCACTCGGCAAACACTGAAAAAAAAAATGAATGAGTGAATGAATAGGACATTTCAAGGACTCAAGTAAAATTCTTTGCAAGTCAAGACTACATACTAGAGCAACAATACACAAGAGTATCAGTTCATAAATCATTAATTGCCTAGATAATTATAATATTATTTGAACATTTAAATTGGAAGGATCAATTATATTTATAGAATAGTAAACTAGAAACTTTCCTAATGCTGCAGTAGTCTCAAAGTAAAAAAGGCAAACACATCTGTATAATACGACATTTACTTAAACATGTAGAATGAATTGTGGTAGTCAAACTTTTCTTTTTGGATTATATGAACAATCTACTATTTCGATCATAATCTCAGTTCTTAAATTTGTACTGAGTAAAAGCCATCACTAGTAGTTTTCTAAGAGAGAATACTACTCTTCAGGAAGAAAGTCTGGAAGATATAAACTAACAGAATTTCTATGTTATTAATTTGAATAATATTAAAAGATTATCTATTCAAGCCAACAGCTAACAGTTTATGAGGCCATCTTCATGCCTTGAATAACATTTCAGACAAAATAATACCATAGCTCTTATAAGAAGAAAATATATATTTAAGAGATTATATATTCAGGAGAAAATAATTAGTTGTTTATGGAATAGACTTTATCAGACACAAGTGCAAAAATCAAGATAACTGTTATTCAGAAAAGGGATAATCATACTATAACTAGCCTTTACCTCCACAAAAGCCCCCTGAAGTGATTTCTTCTTCAAATACATCAGAGAAACCTCTTCCTGCATTTAGTTTTGCCAGTCGACCATCAATAAACTGAAATTTAAAAATTTCAAATGTTAATTTTTCATTTATTTCGTGAGATTAAATTTTTTCTTAAATCAAACATGAATAGCAGACTGTTGTGTAACTTTACACATGTATATGAGAGATTAAATTTTTTCTTAAATCAAACATTAATGGCAGACTGTTGTGTAACTTTACACATGTATATGATGTACACACACACACACACACACACACACACACACACACACACACACACACACAAAATTATAAAACAATGGATAGAACAGGTGCTCAGTAAACAGCAGCTAAATACTTAAGTCACACTTGTACAGCCCAGACCCCATTCATGAGAAATAACAAAGCTCAGTGGTAAAGATCATAGGCCTGGACAGCTGGCTCAATGCAGTCTCTGCAGAGGGCTTTGCCAGAGGTCCTGCCCGCCTTGCCACACCACTTGACCATGAAGCTGTCCTCCTTCGCCATACCTCAGTTTTCCCAGTACCTGCCTCACAGAAATGCTGCAAACATTACATGAGGTTAACTTAGGTCATGTGCTTAAGCATAGTCTTTGACAAAGTATCTAAGAGATGTTAGACATTGCTATTTTTGAGATTACTATAATTTCATTCTGTAAAATAAAACACTTCTGGCCTAAACTATTATGTTCTAAAGCATAATAGAGCACCAGATAATTCTAATCATTTGACATTAAAATAAACATGACTTTCATAGTTCCTGGCATGTGCTCACTGAATGATAAGGATTATGATTATTAATTCACAATCGAGGTAAGTACACACTGACTTGACATGCATAAGGTTATTTTAAACATTATTTTTCAGTGCTCTTTAAACAAAGGGTTGGAATGGGAAACAAGCTATCAAAAGCACCTTAAGTTCTTTTTCAAAATGCAGATACCCTGGAACATCTGTTCTGCCCCATTCTTTACCTGTTCCAACAGACATGGCATAACAGAATCTCATGTATTAATTCTGCATTTGAAAAGTAGCTCAAAGTATTTTTTTACATATTTTTTTTGAGTCAGGGTCTCACTCTGTTGCCCAGACTAGAGGGCAGTGGCATGATCACAGTCACTGCATCCTTGACCTTCAGGGCACAGGCGATCCTTCTGCCTCAGCCGCCTAAGTAGCTGAGATGACAGGCGTGTGCCACCACAACTGGCTAATTTTTAAAAAAATTCTTGTAGAGACAAGGTCTTACTATGTTGCCTAGGCTGGTCTCAAACTCCTGGGCTCAGGCAATTCCCTCCCCTTGGCCTCCCAAAGTTCTAGGATTACAGATATGAGTCACCTTGCCTGCCTTCTCTGGGTATTTTTATATGACCAACCATAGGTGAAAATAATTATATATTTTATATACATACATATTACTGGCACTAGGTTACTTTTTATTTTGTTGATTTGGGGCATCAGGAATTTGATGTGTTGCGGTGACTCTGTTCATAACGAAGGTGAAGTAACTTTCAGGCTCACTTGCACAGCAGGTAGGGGATAAACACAGGAAAGATGTACAGGGCAGATTTGAATGAAGATGAACACAAAATGCTCATTTTCATCCTGAAATTAATTAATCCTGACTGTAAGTTGTTTTGTCCTAGAAATTTATATTTTACCTGAATTCAAATAAAGTAATTTGACTGTTTAAAAAAATATGGTTTTCTATTTGAATACTTCATGGACAAACTAATTGAGAGGAGTTGTACAGAGCAATACAATATTCCTCAGGCAGCAATTTAAGACAATTAACACAGTAAGTTACATCAGTTATACTATAAAATTTGAGAAAAAAATCTCTTACAGACTAAAACTAAGAAAGAATGGAAAATGGATCCACAGGCTTCTGTTCAAAATGTGGTTTAGCTACCTTTTCATTATTTATTAGAATGTTTTTGCTTTGTTTTGTTTTTTTGAGTTGGAGTCTCACTCGGTCACCCAGACTGGAGTGTAGTGGCCGCTCCCGGCCACCGCAGCCTCGCCTGCTGGGCTCCAGCGATCCTTTAGCCTCAGCCTTCCGAGTAGCCAGAATTACAGGCATGCACTATCACGCCCAGCTGATTTTTTGATTTATTGTAGAGATGAGGTCTCGCTGCCCAGGCGGGTCTCGAACTCGCGGGCTCAGGCAATCCACTCACCTCAGTCTCCCAAAGGCGCGGGATTACAGGCTGAGCCACCGAGCCCGGCTATTAGAATGTTTTTAACCAAAAAATGTGGTAAGATGAGTTTAAATAAACACAGCCTAAAAAGATAAAAGTCTTGCTTCTTTTAGAGTATTAGTTGCTCTCACTAAACTTAGAACTTTTTGAGGACAGGGACCATACATTACCCATTTTTATATACTCATTATGCTTGGCATGCAAAAGGTTTCCTGTAGTACAAATGTGGAGTGTAGAGTATAAAAGGCCTACATCACAACTCAGTCACTTATTGGCTTTATGATCCTGAGCAACTTATTTCAGAGTCCATTTCCCCCTCTGCAAAATGGGAATAATAATAAATACATTATGGGTATTTGTAAGAGCTAATTAAAATACTATGAATTGCCTACATTATAGACACTGAATAAATGCTAAATAATAAAGTCCACTGCTGGCACCCCCCCTCCACCTCTTCTATCTCTATCCATTGGCGAGTTTCCTGAAGGATTACTTTCTTGTTTATGTATCTTCAATACCTAGCAAAATGTCTGATATACAGTTTGAACTAAATAAATATTTCTGAAAGATTTAAATATACTAAAACAAGATTAAAGGCCATATATTTTATTCGTCTTTAAGTAATTGTAATGCATTTCATTCTTCATTCTATCTTGAGGTTGAAGCGAGCAACTTATAATGTTGCATAATGTCTTTGCTATATATAATAATGGTAATTTTAAAATAAAGTTTAAAATGCATATAAAATTTGACACACATTTTAACATATTTTTAACATAGCATTATAAATCAAATTAAAGTGATCCAATTTGATAGGCTAAGTATGATTTTTTTTAGAGTGAAAGTAAAAAGATAAATTGAAAGTAATACATTACTGACAAGTAGAACAAAATAAGACATCCTTTTAAAGGACTTAATTTGCTCTAAAGATTAGGACTACAAGTCTTTCTAAAAGGTTTTCATTTTTGTGTTTACTGGAAATAATCCACCCATTTTAGAAATGGAATAGTTCAAGTCTAAAAAGAGATAAATCTCAAAACTATTTACCGATTGTGCATTTTTTAGCATTAATAACTACTTTGTGTTACTAAACTACTGATTTGAGCCAACAGAAATTAATAACGTAGTAAAATCACACGTGTGATCACTGTTAATCAGATACTTACTAATGTACACACTAAATAAAAATGCTCTTTAAACAAAAGATTGATTTTGTGCACATGCACACACATATTACATATACATATATATAAACACAGACACCCAGACATAAACTGAAAATTGTATAATGAATAAAAATTGTATAATGAATAAAAATGCTCCAAATACCTTTTTCTATTTTTGTTCAGTAATGGCTTTTTTTTTTTTCCCCAAGTAAAGTTGGTTCATAGTGATACTGCTCTAATAACTCTGAAGCATTTCAAAGTAAAAGAGGTAAGGATATTCTAAGATATTGATATAGATACATAATTTTGAACTAAAAAAACACATCAACTCTGTTGCAAGAGTTATGCCTCTAAAATGTACCATCACATGTTGCTTCATTAATAGTTCCTATAACATTTAGTAAACACATACCTTTAGGTAATTGGAAGACATAAGTTTTGGAGAAATGAGTTTGTTATTACAAGTAATGACAAATAACACTGTTAACAATAAAATTGATACGATATGACATAAAATTAGATTGCAAGTTGATTTTTAAGAGAATTTAAGAATTTTCTTTAAGATGATGCTTTTCTATAAATTTTTATTTTTTATTCCAAATGAAAAAATTAAAGTCTAGAGCTAAAACACTAATTAATCCCACGAAAACAAAAATGACATAATTGAAAATCTTACAAAAATTCATGAATGTAATTCCATAGTATGGATTCCATAACTTATTATAAATTATAAATAGATGCAATCAATTTAAATAAGTATTATATAAATCCTCAAGATCAATAACATTATTCTCTCTAAATCAACAATTGTGAAAACTAATCTTATTAATTCTTACGACATGATCTTAAAGTAGTGTGATAGGTTACAGGATGTTTTCAAGCAACAAAATTGCTCCTAGCTCCTTCTTTCAATGGTGAAAACATTAAGGTTTTTCCAAGTGTTTTTATCTTCAAACAGAAGATTTGAGTCATTTTAGTAGGAGTTTGAGTCAATTTAAGGAAATTATCTGCTACTTTAAACATACTTCAGTAAGCAATACTGTTACATGAAAATGGACAATCACCATTTATATTGACTTTTAAAATACAATTAAATATGATATGAATATCTCAAAAATAATACAATATAAAAATACACTGTGGCAGGCTTCTTCAAAAAAAATGTTCTGATTAGATTCAGACTAAATTTGAATATACTGGCCAGTAAACTGGTAGGAATGCATTTTTCACAATTCTTTAATTATTCACTGGTCAGTGCATTTCCAGTATTTAATCTAAAACTTCTGGAACAAGATATAGTATTATCAGTGTTCTAAAGTCCTTAGAGCCTTGAAACATGTTATATAAGTACTTAATTGCAACCAATCCATCAAAACTCTGAAGATGACAGTGAATTTCAGGATTTTGATATCATTTTTTAAAAACATTTGATTTTTTAAAAAGCTTATTTAAAAGATTATGATGGGAGATGGGTTAGTGGTGCAATTCTTTGCCAAGCTGGGAAAGTAGGAAGATAGAGTGCCGTTTTTTGGGCTTACATGGCAGTCTTGTTTCTGAAGGCAGTGAAGCAACACAATACACAAATCTACACACACACATTCCTTTTTCAGCCTGGAAGAAAAATAACCATACCTCAAAAACTTATCTACGTTATAAACCCTTCTTAGGCACAAAGATAACTAATCTAA